TCATGATATTTCAATTACATGTTATTTGCCTTTTATTTTTATTTTTTTAATACAATAATTTATGCATTTGGCATTGCTTTTGACTTGACAACCATCCTCTTATCACACCTGTTCCAGCATGTTGTTCAGTCTCTCTGCCTCCAGGTCTATAACAAACGTCTTTTCCTGCCTGCGGTCCAGGTCTTCGAGAAGCTGCCGGTAACTGGCATCATTAAAGTTCTCGACACATATGGCGCTGACCTGCCAACCAATCTGGCCTGCCTTTTCCATGATAGCCTGCAGAATCGAATACCCTATGACAAAAAAGAGACAGCGAGGCATTTGATCAGCGTGTGCATCAAACCACCGAAGGCTTGAACCATTGAGCCGCGGCTCTCATTTATTCAGAAAGAATGTGATTTGTGGCATTGTCAGTGAGTCATTCCTGCACCAGTGCAGTACTCTCTCATCTGCAACGGCAGGCCTGTGAGCGATCACATGGCACAGATCGTAGGGCGCTGATACGAACCTCCCGTCCTTCCATGCGGACTCAATTTAGGCCTCAATCCCCACAAAGCTTACAGTCCCAGAAGCCTTAACAGTACACAGAGAAATGGACAAATACATAGCATCTCTTTGGTTTCATGAAACGAATCTTCGGCATCCTTAAAATAGAAGCCATCATCACGTAGCGATACACGTGTCGGTTAAATTGGAAGACAGAAAGAGCTGCTTTTTGTCACCTTCTCCAAGGTGTGATTGAGGCTTCCTGAGAGCTCCATTACAGCGCTTGTGATTCTAGCTACTGGCCTCAGTGCTGCTTGTACTAATCAGACAGGGCTGGTGTTGGATATGTTAATCTAGCTGTTTGAAATAGGCACTCGGAGCCTCTGAGGCCCACTTGACTCCAAGATGAGCAGATGTCCCTGTAAAACGGACCCTTATGGTCACAATCAGAATTTGGCAATGCAGCTCTCTCAGCTCCACTATTTAATGGATTAACCTGTGCTTGATCTGGCAACCCTTTTGCTCAATCGGGTGTCTGTTCGCTACCTGCTTCTATCTTAAACTGCCAAATGGGGTGGTATTTATGATAATATATGGGTCTATCTAAATTGATGACATATGAGATGTCCAAGATAAAGAAAGAAAAAAAAAACATCCAGAAAAAATGAACATATTTCGTTACACTGTATATACAGTATCTCACAGAAGTGAGTACACCCCTCACATTTTTGTAAATATTTTATTATATCTTTTCATGTGACAACACTGAAGAAATGACACTTTGCTACAATGTAAAGTAGTGAGTGTACAGCTTGTATAACAGTGTAAATTTGCTGTCCCCTCAAAATAACTCAACAGACAGCCATTAATGTCTAAACCGCTGACCACAAAAGTGAGTACACCCTTAAGTGGAAATGTCCAAATTGGGCTCAATTAGTCATTTTCTCTCCCCGGTGTCATGTGACTCAGTGTTACAAGGTCTCAGGTGTGAATGGGGAGCAGGTGTGTTAAATTTGGTGTTATCACTCTCACTCTCTCATACTGGTCACTGGAAGTTCAACATGGCACCTCATGGCAAAGAACACTCTGAGGATCTGAAAAAAAGAATTGTTGCTCTACATAAAGATGGCGAAGGCTATAAGAAGATTGCCAAGACCCTGAAACTGAGCTGCAGCACAGTGGCCAAGACCATACAGCGGTTTAACAGGACAGGTTCCACTCAGAACAGGCCTCGCCATGGTCGACCAAAGAAGTTGAGTGCACGTGCTCAGCGTCATATCCAGAGGTTGTGTTTGGGAAATAGACGTATGAGTGCTGCCAGCATTGCTGCAGTGGTTGAAGGGGTGGGGGCTCAGCCTGTCAGTGCTCAGACCATACGACGTCGTCCCAGAAGGAAGCCTCTTCTAAAGATGATGCACAAAAAAGCCCGCAAACAGTTTGCTGAAGACAAGCAGACTAAGGACAAGGATTACTGGAACCATGTCCTGTGGTCTGATGAGACCAAGATAAA